GGGTTTATTGTTCAAAGTGATGGTGATATATGGGGGTGTTATTAGTAAAATTGAAGTTAGTTGGTTGGACTGGACGAATGCATTGAGCCTTTTGTGTGATAGAAAATACCTCTTAGACTTGAAAAGAAAATTTTTTAAGATGGTGGCGAGACTTACAATGTTCTATGGTGCAGAATGTTGGCCTTTAAAAGAGAAGAAAAAAACTAACTTAAGTGTTGCTGAGATGAGAATGCTTAGGTGGATGAGTGGCTCGACACTTTAGAGTAAAATGTGATGAATGTATTTGTGAAAGGGTTGGTGTAGCTCCAATGACAGACATGATTAGAGAGAGTTGTCTTAGATGGTTTGGTCACATTAAATGTTGACTATCTGATGATCTAATGGGGAGAGCAGATGTTTTATATTTGACTTATGCTACGAAAGGTAGATGCAGACCTAAAAGGACTTGGGTTTATGTTATTAGATGTAAATGAAAATACGACTCTCAATAGGATACAATGGAGAAAAAGAATTGATGTAGCCGACCCACTTTGTGTGATAAAACTTGTTGTTGTATATCATTAGTTTATTAACAAATATCAGAATACACCCACTATAATGTGGTACACCTTGATTTTCATTGAATTTTACTTGAACCTTTTTCTCTTCTTTAAAGAGACATTTAACCGCTGTTCAAACTAATTCCTTCCTAGAATATCAATATTAAGTCCTCTAGAAGTATTTTGATCAAATACAATTAATTTTACTCATTACATTATATTCAGAATGACTTGGGCATGTTTGTTTAACTTTTTTTAATTAACATTGCAGGTGGACAAATGGAGTATCATAAGTTATCCAACCATATTTCTCATGCACGCGAATTTCCATCTCCAAGTCCAAGTTTTTATGAAACTCCTTTGCCTAGATCTCAGAGTGGTTCATGGAGAAGTCCAGTTCAATATCCTAGCCCTACATCAGGAAACTCAGGAACTCATAATTTCTCCAGGCCTTGGAATATGTCTGGAAATTCTTCAGGGCACAGTTATTACTCCAATTCGTCACAAGGTGCTCTATCAAGCTTCAGGCTTGGAGAAAGTTCAATGAGTAGTGCCTACTCTGATGTGAGGGGCAGTCCCCATTCTCACTCAAGTGGCAGAGGCTGGCAGTACAGGGGTGGTAGCCCTAGTCCAGGCTGGAGTGGTGGAAGGGGTAGAGGAGGATTTCATAATAAGGGTTATGGTTTAGGAAGGCAATTGGATAGCTTTTATGTTAAATCAATGGTTAAGGACCCCTGGCGTAAGCTGAAGCCTGTTATTGGCAATATTCTTGTGCCCCTTTCAGGACCACAGTCTTGGCTTCCAAAATCAATAACAACAAAGAAAGTCAAAGTTGCTGAGAATGCTATTGATATCAAACCTAAGCAGAACCTCGCAGAGTTCCTTGCAGTGGCTTTTGAAGAGACTATTAGTAATGAGCAGGAAGGAGAGGGATCGATAGTGCCATATACAAATGACCAATCTGGTCGTGCAGGTTAATGAGCGTGGTTAAGATATAGTCAATCCACTTCCATGTTCTCCATACTTGCAGAATGGAAAACCATCCTACTTACTCTTTAGGTATGTGATAGTACTTTTTGTATTTGACAGGTTGTGTCTGCATTAATGTAATTTTAGTTTAATTTGTTTTTGTGTTAATTTTGTGTTTCAGGGCCTTTCTATGGAAAGGCATTGTGGGATATATTGAAACTGACTGTAGCGTTGTTGATTTTTAATTCTGTTTATAGTAATGTTGCTTTAGAACAGCTAGTTCTTAACATTTTGAAAGTTCATTGATATATTTTAAAATAAATGCCGTTTCTATTTATCTTTCTTCAAGGCTAAGAGACGCTAGAATTCTATTAAGGAATGTAGGTTTGAAGATTTTGTATGAAATGTGTATGTCGTGGTTTCTCGTCTTGTGAGCTGTGTATGAAGCTTGCAACTTTGCTTGAAAGTATCCTTTGTGTACTTTTTATGAATTTCTCTTCCGTTAAAAACATTGTTATGATCTGTCTTCATTAGATCTAACTTATAACATGGGATCAATAACTGGATGTTTGACTTTATCATCCATCAACTGCGTTATCCCATCCCTTTGGGATTGACTTAATAGTGTTAGGATATATTTGAGATAGTTTTATGCCTGTGTTGTGCTTAAGAATACCCCCACAATTTTCTTTGTTGTTTTTTGCAACTAAATCTATTAAAATATGATGGTTGTAAGAAAGCTATTGTTTGATGTTGTAGAAAAAATAATATTTATGATTCTCACCACAGCTTTCTAAAAGTTATTTTCTTTATTATAATTTTACAAGCACCTTTACAAAAAAGCTGTAGCGCTTCATATAGACTTTTAGTTTTGTACTTAATCTATATCCAAATCTTGAACGTATGCCAGTTTTGCTATATCGCTCATATTGGATATTATGGGATGGTGCAGTTGTA